TCCTGTGGATCAGATATCAGCTTTAAGCCATTGGCTTCACTTGGGCCTTGTGAAGAATTCTGGCTGAATCAACCAAAATTCCTCTGGGGTTCAGGGGAAACACATGTTGAAGTAGGAGCCCGTTTGCCTCTACAAACATTGGTGCTCCTTCCTGTTAACTCCCCACTCTCAAACTTACTGAACTCTGACGGCTTGTGCGGAGAAGGATGGGGACATGGTCTCGTCGTCTCCCAGCCACTCCATGACCTCACTGGAAGGCTAGCCTAGCATTGCTACTGGAATTCGTCCAAGCACAGCACCTGCTTTCTTCCTTTGCCTTCTGATGGTGACTGGCCCTGCAGTGGGGCACAAAGTGGAGGAAGGCTCTTTATTACCTCTGTCCCACCTTTGTACACATGCAGGGGCAGCTAAAACAAGGCTCTTAATGTCTGATGCCCATGGATGCAGGAATCCGTATAGTGTATATCGAAAAAAGGCAGAAGATTAATGTACACTCTGGGGTTTTTTTTAAATAACGGCTCATTTCCGTATACCTTTGGTTGTTGGTTTTTTAAAGAAAATAAATGTATACTGCAATGTGATTGCCTAGCCTGCCAGAAATAATAGTCTCATTTTTTCTACTACATATTTTATAAAATAAACTCATGGGCCTGCTGTATTTGTCCAGATTTCTTCCCCTTTTTGTTACACTATGTCTTCGAATGAGGTCAAGAGAAAAAAAATCATTAATATCTGTCAACTTCCTTTATAACCTTAAGGAAAAATCTTTGTATGATATCACACAGACAGATTTTCAATTTCCTTGTGTAATAAACAGATGCTTTAGGATTTGGATGTAATTTAAAGGTTTAAAAAAATCACATTGAGATTGATGAATAAATCAGTTGCGAAGACAAAAACATTGATGCCTGTTGAAAATACCTCTCCAGACAGGCAGGAAATGAAATTAGTTCCCAGTAAAGTGTGGAGATGAGGATCACTGTTTAGTTCTGCTGCAGGCTTTTTAGGACTTGCTATCGTGGCGCAACAAAACAGCTAGGGCTACAGAAATCTAATTAAAGAGCAAATGTCCCTTCTGACACCAAATTAATCTTTATCAAGTTCCCTATTTTTATTTCAATCTGGCACAGGAAAATGAAATTTAAAATTCTAGGCATGTTGCAAAACAGTTGGTGATTTTCTCTTGAGCATTACAATGCAAAACATTCAGCATTGTTTAATTAGACCTCTAAGCACTCATTTTCTGAACACTTTTTATTTCATCATTGTGTGTTAAGGACTTACACAAATAATGCACAAATATTTACTACAGGCCTAATATGGGGCTGTCTTCCTATGTTATGCAGATATATACTTCCAGGATTCATGAAAAGGCTGAAATATTGATTGTTTACATTTTGGATATGATCATCATTTATTAGCCCTTTATTTTGAGTAGTTCTGGAATTCTTAAATTATCTTTTGTTTTGGTGTACATGTGCTCAACAATGTATATTATCATTTGTATTATAGTAGCCCTACAAAGCCTTAACCAAGATCAGTGCCCCATTTTGCCAGGTGCTGTACATACAGACTAAGAGACAGTCCCTGCCCCCGAAGAGCTTAGAATTTGAAGGCATGTCTTCACTGCAGTGTTAGCTTGAGGTATAACTCAAGTGGGGCCCATAACCCAGCTCTCGTCCACACACAAAATTCTCTAGCTCCAGTTAAACTCGAGCTAGCTGACCCATCAGGGGATGTGGGTCAAAGCTCAAGGGCTGCTGATGCTGAGGGTAGAAATGCATTGGAGACTCTGTGCTGTAATCCAAACACTCTGCAGCTTGAGTGTTGTTTGAGCATCTTTGGGGTTGTTTGTTGTGAGCACTCTCACCTGAGATAGGCTGACGTGAGAGGAGTTAATTTGAGGAGAGTAGATAACTTCAATGAAGCCTGGCATAGACATGACAGACAAAGGTTGCAGAAAAAGAAGAATTATTACCCCTGTTTTACAGATGGGAGAACTGAGGCGTAGCAGGATTAAGGCTCTGATCTAACAAAGCACTTAAGCATATGCTTACATTTCAGCACAAATAGTACCAACTGTGTCAGACGATTCATGTGCACAAACTTTGCTGAACTGGAGCCAAAGTGACTTGTCCACGGTCACATAGGAACTCTGGGGCAGAGCCTGGAATTGGAGCCCAATCAGTACCAGGCCAGTGCCTTCACCACAGAACATCCTTCCACTCTGAAGATGTTTATTCATCCTTAGTCTAGCCAAAGTGTTTACAGTGTTGTACTGTTGTTCTCTCCCTCTGACCTGAGGAACCATCTGTCTTAGACAGAAAGTATATTTGATTCTCTATGCCTGTTCAGCTCCGTGCTTCTCTAAAACAGGTGGCTAGAGCTACCAACACTATCAGATGGTCCTGTGTATATGTTTGCTTCATAAAGACTGGTAATAGATCACTAAGGAGGATGTACCTCCAAGGTACAAAGGTAATTCTAAATGCCTGAGAATATGCTCTTTTATATAGTTTCCTCTTGCGACTGAATTAGAAATGGCCCCAAGACTAGTGTATTATATGATAATATTATATCATATTATACAAATTATGATGATAATATTACAAGACCCAATTCTATGATCTTCAATCAAGCAAAACTCTGATCAGAGTCAATAGGAGTTTTGCTCAATTAAAGACCACAGAATGTAACTCACTTATTGTTTGTTATTATGAAGCATTATTTGTATTCCAGTAGTGCCTCAACTAGGTTAACACAATTCATATCCAGGAAGACAAAGTCCATACAGCTGAAGAACTTTCAGCCTAAGACTCCACAATGCAATGGCTGTTGGCCCATACAGTTTGGCTTGAAGGATCAGGGCCTAAGAAGACAAGCAATTTACATAGAGAGGGTGAGAGAGTAACAAAAAAATGTGTATATCTTTTGTACACAACCGTATATATGTTACACATCAGCTATACCCCATTATCCCTCAACCTATCCACCATTAGTTGGCCAGTTTCTTGCAGGCATCCCTCACAGAAGAAGTGGGTCTTCTGGAAGGATTTGAAAGAGAAAAGGGTACTGACCTTATGAATCAATTCTTGAAGGGCATACTATGCAGGGCCAGCTCCAGGCACCAGCCCTCCAAGCATGTGCTTAGGGCGGCACCTGGAGGGGGGCGGCGCTCACCCGGGGAGAGCGGGGCCCCGGCCGGGCTCTCCGCCCTCCTCCCAGCGCTCCGGCCGGTCGGGGAGAGCGGGGCCCCAGCCTGGGCTCTCCGCCCTCCTCCCGGCGCTCCGGCCGGTCGGGGAGAGCGGGGCCGCGGCTGGGCTCTCTGCCCTCCTCCCGGCGCTCCGGCCGGTCGGGGAGAGCGGGGCCGTGGCCGGGCTCAGCGCCCTCCCCTGCCGCGCTCCCCGGCGGGGGGGCGGCGGGAGGCTTTTATGCCTGGGGTGGCAAAAAAGCCAGAGCCGGCCCTGATACTATGCATAGGAGGCAGTGTGGAAGAAGATCTGAAGAAGGTTGTAGGAGAAGTGGATAAGTTGGTGATCAAGGCTAGCATTTTTAATAGAGTGATTGGTGGACATGATAAGTCATAACAGCAGATAAGTGGGGGGGGGGGGGGACGAGAGGTCTAAAAGGCTTTGAAGATAAGACTAAGAAACTTGAATATAATGCAGTGAAAAATGGGGGCCAGTGGAGTGATTAGAGGAGGGAAGTGACATTTTGTTCATTTTGTTTTTAAAGGAGGCTCATTCCTAGGGGCCTAACAGAAGCTACAATTTTTCTTTCTTTCTTTCTTTTTGAAAAAAACAACATGGCTCAGTTATTAAACCAGAAACAGGAAATAAATCTCCCTAGCAGCCTCTCCTACTACAAAGTGTATATAAAGCAACCACATACAAACCACTTAAACTAACAAATACAACTGAAAAGTCATGCATTTAGTCACAGGCGTGCCATACATGAACTCTGGCCAGAAAGAGTGGATTTTCAAACTAAATATTTTAGACCAAATTCAGCCTTTGCTTTAGCAGTGCACCTTCCATTGACTTCAAAGGGAATTATACCTGCTTGCCCCAGCACTGAGTTTGGTCTCCATTTTTTTCCAGCAACCACTGGTTGGTTTCATACTGCATTCATATGTTCTAAACTATGAAGTATTTCTAACTTTATAGAAACATTATGTTTATTTAGGATAAACTTGGTATAGTAAATCAATACCTGGTGCCCTTGAAATTCTAACAACTCTGCTAGTTTTGAAAGACAGCATTTAAACACACTACTATATTGAAAGAATATGCCAAAAACCTTTATCTCTTTTCAATTACTAAATATTTCATTTAAAAAAAAATACATTTCTTTCCATTCTCCGTTTGTTTTCTCCTCTCCTTGGTTTCAAACAGCTTTCACTACATTAGTTGCCCAACTGTTAAAAAGCTTTGGTTGAATTTTTGTTTAGTTGAGAAAGAAGTACAAATAAAAGAAGAAGCAGATGGTCCCTTTGTGACTGAACGAAGAAAAAGGGTTTAGAGAACAATATGTGAATAGGTGTAGTCTAATAAAACACTCAGCCACCTGCTGCCTGCATCCTTCAAAAAGATTCTGTTGCATATTCTGGGAATTAACTACTAGTGTATCCTTAGTTTAATCAAAATGCAAGCTCTAAGAAGCAAACAGACTTTATTTTCCCCCGAGTTGATTGAGTTGTCCTCTTAGCTTTTAAATTGTTTCTGTTCCATGGCTCTTAGTTCCATATTATAACTGTGTGTTATCTAACAATTTGGTGTGTTTTGTTTTGTTTGTTTGTTTCCAAAATCAAGGAAAGGTTTTTAAAAAATAAAAAATACCCACACACGTTTTCTGCCTGTTTTAAGTTTGCCAATTCAGAGTATAAATACAAGGAAAAGGACTCTGATATTTTGTTCTGCACATGCTACTTTTAAAAGATTTTTGCACCTAAACTACTGCTTCGTTTATTGTACATTGTATTGGCTTCCTTTTTCTTACAGGGATTTACTCTTCAGCCTGATTATCAGAATATCATCAACCCTACATCTACAGCTGCACAAGTTGTTACCCAAGCAATGGAGTATGTTCGTTCAGGGTGCAGAAATCCTCCAGCACAGACTGTGGACTGGAATAATGACTACTGCAGTAATGGGTAAGCAGCCAATGAATGCCACCTGGTGTTGAGCAACCTTTATGACACAAATGTCTGGCAGGGGGTGGGAAATAGCTCTGTTGCCTGTTTCTCTACTGATTTTTTTTAGAAGGGCATCTGTATTGGTGCTGTGTTTATTCAGTAGTTGAATTACTGTATGAAAGCAAGTGCTTAACACATACAGTTAAAGATTGCTCTCAAATAAGTGCATTTTACTTCTGGAAAACTTAAATTTGCCAGAGAACTGCAATTTGATCATTAAAAGGTAAGATTGGGAGGGACAGATCACTCCTTCCTGCTTGATCAGGGCTGTGCTAAGAGGGAAATGTCACAAGTCTCCCCTCATAGAATTTTCTTACAAATTCTTCCATCACTGGGTGGAATTTTTCACCCAGTGGAACAAGTGCCATGATGCTCAGATATTATAGTGATGGGCCTGGTATCAGAACAGAAAAGAATGAATCTCAGGGAATTCAACAGAGACACGGGGTGTGTCTACACAGCAAAAAAACCCTGCCACCCGACTCGGGCTCGCTGGGCTCAGTCTGCAGGGCTGTTTCATTGCTGTGTAGACTTCTGGGCTCAGGCTGGAGTTCAGACTGTAGGACCCTGCAGGGTGGGAGGGTTCCAGAGCTCGGGCTCCAGCCCAAACCTGGAACTCTACAAAGCAATGAAACAGCCCCACAGTCCCAGCCCAAGTCAGCTGGCTCGGGACAGACGCAGGTTTTTCTTTGCTGTGTAGACATACCCACAGTGTCATCCACACAGAAGCACTATACCTCTACCATGGTGCCCCTTCAGACCCTCTCTGCTAGATCCCATGAAGCACAACTCCAATGGAGCCATGATGACAGACTCCTCAGGCTACTCCAGGAATCCCCGACGTGTGTGGGGGGGAGGCAATTCAAGGAGGAATGTTGCTAATAGCTATCTTACCTTTTGTATGGATTCCCAGTCAGTCTTCAGCAGGTAGTTACTGTGCCTAATATACTCAGACCCCTAGCCTGCCCCTTCTCAGCCTCTGGCATGCCTCCCCACTGCAGAGGCTGCTTACAGCCCCTCTTCACATCATACACACCCCTGTACAAGAAGGTGGAGATCTATGTACAGAGAGAACCTTGGCTGAAGGCCCCCCGTGGGAGCCAGGAAACAATAGTTCTGTGCTTGCCTCTTCCGCAACCTTCCTGTGTCATCCTGAGCAAGTCACTTCATCTTTCTGCACCTCAGTTTCCTTATCTGAAAAATGGGGATCAAAACATTTCCCTACCTCGCTGGGTGCTGGGAGGTTATTTCAGTCACATAGGTAGTGCACTTGGTGATTCTCCAGTCATGCTATGGAGGTACAAATTATGGTTAGTATTTTTATTATTTTTGTTAGAGCAGTGCAACCAGTACTTCAGTGGGAGACGCAAACTAGTGACGCCCGAAATATGACAAGTTTCTTTCTTGTGAGGTGGTAGAACTAATAAAAATTTGACAGGTTTAAAAAGTGTTTGCTCTATTTCTTTTTGAACAGGGGCATGCAGAGGGACAAAGCACTGTACCTTACCTGAAAATCTGGAAAACCTCTCCTTTCCGTTGAGGATTGCAGGGAAGTCTTTTCATCACGGATTGCTTTATGCAGTCAAGGCAGTTCTGCATTTTATTAGAAAATACAAGTTGCTAAGCACTTAGGACTATTTGAGCTTGTGGGTCACCCACTCTGGAAAAAATAGTCTTGCTTCTTTCTTTCTTTTTTTATTTTTTTTTTTCTCAGAGATCCTTTAACGGACATTGCTTTTCTTCTTTCCTGAAGGAAAATTGGACTACTCAGATTTTATGTTGTTTTTTGCTGTGAAGTGCTGCGCTAGTAACTGCCTTAGCAACTGTAGATAAAAGTCCTGGATTTTCCATTGGTTTTCATAATGGGTGTTTATATGAAACTACTAAAGACTTTTTAAATGGCTTGATGTAGCAGTCATAGCAAGTTTGTAAATAGCATCTATGTTACACTCTCCTAGAGTATAAAATGTGAATGTTTTTGTAGCTAATTGTAATTGAAACTGGCTCACAATAGGGGTTAAATTGGCAAACATTCATATTTTTACTTCATTTTTAAACAACTGACTAATAGTTCTATATTTTCAAAGTATTTGGAAAAAATAGTATTCCCAAATGGTGTTAATTAAAAATATTGGCTTTGTCTCATTAAATAGATAAAAGGGTGAAAAAAACTAGTATTGGGAAAGAGCACAAACACATTTATTTTATACTGCCTAAAAATGCTTTTTTTTAAAAAATCACTTTACGTGTAATGGTTAGTAAACATCATTTAAGTCCTTTTATGTATAAAACTGCCAAATGCTTACCTGATATTTTATTAGATGCAGAAACAGATTGGAGACAGCTAAATTATAACCTTTACATATGGCTATGTATTATTGTTTCTTCATACTGTGTCTGTATTTAATCTTTTTTTAATGGAACCTGTTGCGCCTATTTATGAAATAATAAATATAGGTGTTTGTAAGTAAATTTGTTAGCATTTTAAAGAGGTTTCTTTGCGTTAACTTTTGCTGGCAAAAAATTATTCACAACTGATGTGAATATTTTATTTAGTTTTTCAATGACATGAATCAAGCCAAACCTGCGTTTTCTGGCAGAAGATGAAAGTACCCAACATTTATTTCTGCATTTCTTTGGCTGGTGAAAAATGGAAAAAAAAAAGATAGTTTAAGTACTTCCCTTTTTAATGCATTGTAACAGGGAGTTGCCCAAAATGAACTCATAAGCCAACAAGGCTAAATAAACCGAAAGGCACCGTCTGTTAAATGCTGCCTCTTGGAGCTCAATCAGTTTTGGTTAATCAGTCAAATGAAATAAAAATAAATAAACTGGAAAAGTTAACAAACATGCTTCAGCCATTTTATCATGAAGGCAATAGGTCTTGTAATAAGAGATGAGTGACTTTGCTCTGAGCTTGAGAAGGGTATCGCAAATACTTACTAAAATGTGAGGTGAGTAACAAGGCAGTAGGATAAAGAGTAAGAAAGCCAAAATAGAACATTCTCAAGGTTTTAAATCAGGGATAGCTAGGAAAACATATTATTGGGGGATGTCAACTGGGATGCCTGTCCAATTGATGATGAATACCACTGCTTTGTATTTCCTATGTGAAATAAAAATAACAGTTCTGATTCAATATATATTGTGTAATCCAGTCAACATTTTTAAAAAACAAAAGGTACAGTATGCTTGTTTTGGAATGATTTTAGGCAATGTACAACCTGAATCACTTGAGCATGTAATAACTAATAAATAATGCAGATCAGATGTGATTACTCAAATGACTGTAGCTGAGAGCTCTAATTTTCCTGTCTTGAAACTGTATAAGAACTCGTGATTAAGTTCACAGTTTATTGTTTGTCTGTTTAGTACTTTAGAAATATACCAGCACTGCTAATTACCCAATGTCTTCTATTTATTATATTATAATAAACTACATTTTCCATTCTCATCAGTTCTAAAATGAGAAGATAATTATTGGGACGGGAAAAGTCAGCTATAACTTTGACAGGCAGATTTTTTCTTGTATGGGAAAGATCTGTGTTACCTTAATCTTTTTAGAGCAGCTGTGCAGAAAAGGTATAAAAGTTGTTAATTACAATATCCAAGCAGAATTCAAAATACAAGCAAAAATTAATGTAAATAAAAATACATCATGAATAAAATACTTATTCTGTATGAAATCACTGCTACTTGGTCTTAGTCTTTAAGAGCTTGAACCTACAACATGCTGAGCACTCTGGCCCCAATCCAACAAAGCAGTTAAGCCCATGTTTAACTTCAAGAACATTACTAGTTCACATTGACTTCAATGGGAATTCTGTGCCTGCAACTGTGGTAGGCCCTGGCCTTCAGAAAGAGCAGCAGTGTTTATCTTGTCTACATGGCATTCACCTTGAAATGCCTTGAGTCCACATGCAACCTGTTTTTAAACCAATTTATTTGGCCTCTTAGGTTGCAATAAGTAATCGTCCTAGGAACAGGAGTGAATCCATTGTGTCATGAGTGTGTTCATTTTAAGGTTCATGTGGACACACTCCTAACTATTCTGCTACTTTCCCATGTTGCATCACTTCACACGCAGGTCAACCTGTCCTTGTGTGCCCTCCACTGCTCTAGGGTCATTTTGACTAGATGTCACTTCTTGGTTTAAATGCTGGCAGGCAGACGAGTGCCTTTTTTCAGTACCAGGTAGTAGTGAGTTCACATACCTATTATAGCAGCCATGCCCCGCAAGCCTTCAAGTGGACATCTTTAAAAGTTCTGGCCTTGATTGCTCTCTTTGGAGAGCTATATATTCATCCCATGTGGAGAAGACCTGGGACTGAACATATATTAGTGGATGCCAGGAGAGGAATCATGGGAGTTTGCTAGTATGAACTCTCAGGGCCAGAATTCTTATAGTTTCTGATAGATGTCCATCCCACAATGCACCACAAGAAAAATCACAAATCATAGAGCTGAGTGGTAGAACATTGCAATATGGGAAATCTGCTCAAAACACTGAGCAGTTAATTTGAGGGAGCACAGAACTGTGTGGCAACTGTGTAGCAACGAACATACCTTAAACCAACATAACACAGTTGTGTCGATGCACTTCAATTCAATATAGTTAAATCACTGCACTTGGAGTGAACAAACTGGATCGATGTAAGATCCCTGTGCCCATCTGGCCTTAGTTCCAGAGGAAAGATCTAGCATTGAAGCTGCAATGGCAGCTTTTCATGGCTGATCTCAGAAGAAGCAATGTCTGGTTACTATCTGCAAAGAGTTACCTGATACTTTTTTCAACTGCATGTTAGCAGATATAAAGGGTCAACAGCAGGCATCCAGAAGATGGAGGCCCAGGGTCAAAATCAGCCCTGGCAGCAGGTGAAATTCCATGGAAATCTATGGTGTTGCAACCTTTCCTCCAGCTCAAGAATGCTCAGCTAAGGCACATGTGTAGAGCCAAGTGATAGGTGAAGAATACAAAAATAAAAACAACCTATCAATTAAAAAAATACAACTAAGATAAATAATGCAAACATGGCAAAGGCATCCAACTTTGATATCAAAATAACTGACACTGACAGAGATCATTTCTTCCATTAAAGCAAATTAACAACCATTTCTCTTCTGATGACTTGTAAAAGGCAATAAGTTGTCATTGAAAACAGACCTGGCCAGGATGAGGGGACAAGTGAGAAAGATGACTTGGAACATTTCAGAATCTGTCATGGTAACTGCCTACTTAAAGAAACCTACTCGTAAATGTACAGCCACATGGATCCTACAACTATCAACATTTCACATTCTATTAAGGGTTTGCTGGGAAAGACACTTTATAAGGCAAATTTCATTCCCGCTGATCCAATGCAAGGAAAAACATAGGTAGTTAGAAAAATAAAATAGGAAAAAAAAGCTTCCTGTTCTGAAAAAAGGCTCTGTGCACAAATCTACAGTATACTGCAGATCGGAGCCCGGCACACTGACAGTTGTGTGTTTACAATGAGCCCGAGCATAATTGCTCTGATGGGCTGTCAAGGAAAAGATTAATTTGGCAAAGATTAGTATTGACTTGCTGTTTATTAAGTCTTTAAACAGCTGTATCTGGCAACATTCCTGTAAGTGCCTGTCATATCTGAAAATCAGGCTCACACCCGGGTGCTTGCCAGCTGTTACTAAACAATCTTATACTACTTTGAGTAGCTTTCTCCAGGCCAAATAGCAAAAGCAAAGTATTGCCAAATGAGTCTCTCCTTTTCTCTCTCGCTCTCTGTCTCTTTTGCCCCTCCTGTCACTTTTTTGGGTTCTGAAAGCTGAAATGTCAGTTTATGGCTGATGGCTGAGCTGATAACAGATACCGGAAGCCAGTAGGTGGTTAGAAAGGTGCTAGAAGAACATGGCCCACATGTAGAGAGTGGGTAATGCTGTTAGTCATCTCATGAACACAGACAAACCACAGGTTGCAACTGTTATATGCAAAGAGTTTTTAAAACTGTCAGAATCTGTGATCAAAGGTTTATAAGAGACACAATTCCAAAATTAATGCTTCTTCAGGCTTTTGCACATGCACTGTGGGCCATCATGGATAAAGACAACACAGTAGTATGATGTGCAGAAGTATAGACAACACCATTAATCTTTATAAAATGAGCCAAGGTTTTCATCTACAATTCTTTCCCAGCCTGCAGATAAACAAAAGTCGTAAAACATACACATAGTATATCTTGGGTCAGTGGAAAGCTGTAAAAGGAAAAATATAGGTTGTTGGGTTTTTTTGATGTCACTGAAAAGGCAGTTTAGCATTTGTTATAGATGATAACTGATAGCTCAGAATCAAACAAATAAGGCCAATGGAATGAATACTATTCCACTGTAGCTAAATGCCAATATCAATACCAATGTGTTACAATTAAAGTTGATTTGGCCTTTCCAATAGAACTCTGATTTGCTGGGATTAATCTCGACCTTTTCAAGTTGCATCAGGCTGAAATAAGTTGTCAGAACAGATGTGAATTTTGTATGCAAAGAACAATTGTAATCCAGTAACCCTTAGAACGCTAGCATTTTCCAGGCTGCCAGCCAGAAGACTAGTTAGGATAGCTATGGCCAGTAGATATGGTATGCCCACAGCAGGCAGAGCCAAAGGGTTCATAACAACATGCGTGGCGGTTGAAATCAGAACATTTCAAACTGGACATAAAATGCAATTTTTTAATTCTAAGGGAAATTAGCTATTGGAAGAGCTTATCATGGGCTGTGATAGATTCTCTACCATGTGGAGTCTTTAAATCAAGACTGGATGCCTTTCTAAGAGATCTGCTCTAGTTCAGCCCCAAGATATTGGGCTCAATGATTGAATTACTGTGTGAAATCCGATGGCCAGAATGCTGCAGCAGGTCAGATACAATTATTGTAATGTTCCTGCATGGTCTTAAAATCTATAAAGCTATGAGGTCACCAATTATTGTGTTTTAGATGGTATTTTAAACAGGTTTCCCCAATATCCCAACAATAAATGGCTCCAATTTTTAAACATAAACTTTTGTTAATAGTTGGTTCTTACATATTTTGGTTGCAAGAATCAGAATTTTCTGAGCTGCCCGGTGCCAGTAGAACTAAAGTGGACCATGTTCTGTCTGTTCCTGAGGGGAAAAAATTGTAACAGCCAAGATATGTTCATTTACATATTAGTTACATGCCAAATCTGCAAAGCAACAGGGGTATTACAGAATTTGCAAAGACACAAACTTCTGACCTTTTTGTTAGTTACACTAGCAACAAAGTCGGCAGTTTGTGTCTTTGCAAAGTCTGTAATACTCCTGTGAATGCAGTACTTATATTAGGGGAATTTAGGTGGCTATGCCCCACTTCTTAATGGAGCAATTTTTTTTCCTGATTCCTATTTGATCACCGTTTACATATGAATGTGACGTTCCAACATACATTCAAAAATAAACAAAGGGTATTCACCAGTATAATTAGCACAGTGGTACTTGATATTTCAATAGCTCCTTTGGTTCAAAGATCTGTAAGCCATTAAATATTAAGGAGCTAAGCTTTACAGCACCCTGAGGATGAAGGATAAACTGAGAGCACTGCAGTGTTTAGGGCAAAAGGTCACAGAGCAATTTAGTGGCAGACTTGGTCAGAATCCAAGAGTTCCGAGGTCCCCTACTTTAGTCACGAGGCTACACGTCTTCTCTTCATCTTAAAAAACTTTATTAAGAAAAAAGAAAGAAACAAACAGTGGTAGAGCATCGCCAACCCCAAACGTTCAAAAATCTGAGTCAGACCCCACCCCGAAAAATCATGAGATTGGCTTAAAATCATGAGATTTTAAAAAAATAAATGGGTGGGTCTATTTCTTTGCCTCCTGGTTTTTTTAATCTTTAAGATGCAATCAAATGACATTTTCAAGCTTTTCTCTGCAACTCTGAGGGCTAGAAGTGTCACTTTAAAAGAAAAAAAATGGAAACTGTGATTCTCAGGTAATCACTTGTCCCCAGGTGCTTGGACTTTAAATTAAACATCAAATCTCATTGAACTCAAAACTAAATCATGGGTGTTGGCAACACTGGATCTATTCTTGCTTGTTGCTTCACTTAGAGCTTCTGCCTAGAATTCCCCCAAACTTACTTTTTGCTTGGCTTCCTGCTATAGATTTAAAGAAACAGTACACATATTCTCAAGCCTATATGATTCAATAGCTGCATGTGTTCCAGGAAGAGTGAGGTATTCCTGTTGGCTGAATAGGACTGGCCCAGCTGTCAATTCCAAAACAGAGCTGCCACCTGAAAGCAAGATGCAAATTCTTTGTGCCTTGTGCAAATATCAGTCCTGCATAGCACTTTCTGGAGTAAGGGGAGATTGTGCCAAGGAGGCAGCTGATCCTCCACATGTGGGAGGAAGGGCGATCTTCACAGGGAAGGGTTGTATGATCTAGACCTTGGACAGAAGACAATC